GCTTGGGGCGGAGCCGAGAGGCGGCGGCGATCCTTGCGGTCGTAGCCACCTGCTGTGCGAGGCGGTCGGAGGGGCCCCGTAACCTCCGCTCTTCGACGGTCGCTCCGGCCTGATGGGCTCCGAGAGCTTTCGGGGTTAGGGGTGGTGCGGGGGCCCAAGGAGCGCCCCCCAGGCTCGCCGTGGGAAATCTTGGGGCTCTGGGTGCTCCTCGTTCTTTCCGGGGGCCCCTAAAACAGTTTTGGCGGCCGCCCGAGACTGAGTCACCGCCATTTTGTTGGCGCCCTCTCCCGGCGGTGTGGCGGGGCTGGCGGGCTCTCTAGAGTCGGGATCCATTTGGCGGTGGTGGGTTGGTTGGTTTGGCCTTTGTGAGGCTTTGAACTCAGCTGTGCTAACGTAGGAAAGCAATTTGATTTGGCCGGGGCGCTTGTGGCCCGACAGATTCTGCGTTTGGGGGAGAACGAGTCTGCACGGTGCCGCCTCAAATTTCGGCAGCGCCGCAGTGTGGTTTCCCCGGCCTCTCTCGGCTGCCCGCGCGCCGAGCCTTTGACGTCTGACCAGCTAAGGGTTTGGCGCTGACTTTGTGGGCAAAATTGATCATTTTCCACCCTTTTCTTTCGTGGCGGAGGCGGTTGGGGAACGAGGAAGGACCCTGATGCTCAGACTTTCGTGGAGTTTTGAGTTTAAAGATTTGAGCAAACGTTCGAGTCGATTCAGACAGCGTCTTTCGAGATTGCGATAGAGGTTTTCTTTTCTTTTTTTCTTTCTCCTCCTCCTCTCCTTCAGTACTAGGAATTGAACCCAGAGTCTTAGCACTGAGCTACATCCCTTTTAAATTTTATGTTCTCCCCCGTCTGTTTTAAAATGTTTTTATTTCGAGACAGGGTGTCTCCCAGAGTGCTGGGATTGCTGGCGTTCGCCCCCACTCTAGGCTGAAAGGTAGATTTTGCGGCTTTCGTGGTGATCGCATTTGGTTTTATTGTGAATGCATAAATGAGGAGGAAGAAAGTAAAGCTGTAGGGGAGAAACTAAAGTTGTAGTTGCTGTACAGGCGTCCTTGCGTATCGGCAGATCCCAGAGTCAGATAACCTGAAAAATGTGGGGATCTTGTAAAGTGAGGGAAGCTTAGGTGTGTGCTCTAGGGAACCGCCAGGTCGTTTGATAGAAAAGGCGCTGACTTTCGAGCAAGTGCTGGGCGGCGGCTGCTTTATCCCGCGTTTAGTGTACTTTATTAGTCTCTAAAGTTGGATACGGACAGTGGAAGGGCTACTTCTGAGAGTCCTGCCGAAAGATTTAGAAAGTGATTAGTTGTTGTATTAACACACGGTTTCGTTTCTTAAAATTGGCAGTTGTGTTGGGGATAGTGTAGCTTAGTGGTGGAGTGCTTGCCTGGCATGTGAAAAGGCCTGAGATCCCCAGCGCCACAAAAACGGGAGGGAAAGAAAGAATTTTCAGTAGTGTGGCGAGGGTCCCTGGGCAACATACAGTAGCAAGATCCTGGCACCATCAACCAACCAATAAAATAAGTGGAGTGGAAGAGCTTCTAAATCTTATAATGTCTTAAATTTTACTTATGAAAGTTATATAAATACCTAAAGGAATAAATTGGAATTTTACTAATTTAGTGAAAACTTTAGTGGCGTTGTCAATAGCTTTACTAGCTCTAGCTTGAAACATTTGGTGGTATACGAAAGTTTGCAATTTTAACAATCATTTTTCAGTGGTCTTTTAAAATTTTCTTCTGTAAAGTTTATTGTAGAGAACTGACAGAGAGGTTCAATGAAGATAGTAGTTTTGCTACTCAGATAGCCACCTAGATAAACATTGGTATGTTTTCTTTGACTCTCAAAATTAGCATTATAATGTATTTTTCCATTTTGAATCATTTCCCTCTCTTTAACATTATTTTACAAGCATTTCTAATATCAAAACCTCTTCGTTGAAAACATGCTTCTCGTTGGTTATATACTATTATATCTTAGGGAAATACCTTAATTTATTTAATCTTTTATTTACATTACCAGGCAGTTTCTAATGTCATATTTTTTCTATGAGAAGGCTATTAGTGTTCAGAGTGACTCTTAAAACCGAACCTCAAATTTTAGGGATGAGGAAATAGAGGCAGAAGAGTTGATCTCTCTGTTCCAAAGATTATACCTTTGTATAACTACAGAATTTGAATCAGAACTTTTCTTATGTTATGTGAGCCCTATTTAGTGCCCTTTTCATACCACCACATGCACCTCAATTAGCTAAGTACTTTTTTCTTTTGTTTTGGCCGCTTTGAAATAAATATGGAAATCCAAATTATGATACAGTGAAAAGATTTGTGAGTGACTACTTCAAGTTTAACCATACTCTTTTTTTTTTTTTGGTGCTGGGGATTTGAACTTGGGTCCTTGCACTTGTGAGGGAGGCGGCAGCACCACTTAAACATACTCTTTTTCAGGCCAACTATAAGAAATAAAAGAAACCCATGTAGATATCAGGCACTTTGCATGTGTTGTTTTTTTATATTCAGTAAGATGGTTTACTGAGTTGGTATTTCATATTTAATTTATTTGTGGCTACCAGTTTCACCTTTTATGAGATTCAGATTGAATTTATTTCCTAACAACATTTAACTTTTGTGCTTTATTTCTACATTATCAGTCATAAATATTAATTTTTAGAGGACAAGTTTGGAGATTCATGGTCACCACAAATATGGCCATGTGCTATCAGTTTCATCATTTGAAGGTTAAAAGCAAATCATCGAACACACTGTAGCCCGGGACACATGGTGATATTTCTTTAATTAAAATCAGTTCATTGCTTCAGTGAAGAAATTTATTGCTCTATAAAACTAGAAGTACTAGCAATTTCATACTAAATAATTGCTTTGTTAGCTAACTTGTAGTGATCACAGATATAAAAATACTTAATACAGTTCGTTTATCTAAAAACATGCTTTTAAAACAATCGGCAACTTTATGAGGCATCTTTCTCTGTAAAGTATTATGGTACCTAATCTAAACTTTCTCTTTTATTGTTATTAGATTATATTATTTTGACTATTGGAGACATCTATGATGATGATGATGATGCTGTGACACAAAAGCGTTCTGAAACCGAAAATTCTGTGAATCCTAATGAATCTGATAATACATTGGTGATACAACCAGACTGTGGAAGTGGCAATGAAAACTATCATGAACTATTCAACATGGAACATGGTAATTTTCTTAAATTTTCTCCTGGGGGAAATTTTGCTGTCTAATCCCATTTTCTAGTAAATTATTTAAATATTTCTATAACCTTTACATCAATTAGTTATGAAAAGAGCTGAGCTTTGTGGTACTATCACAATGTTAACTTGTGTTTGCATTTTCCTTTTACTTTAGCTATGGAATGCCCCCCCTTTGTCCTTTTTACTGTATGGGGAATAGACTCAGAAAGTATTGGGGAAAATATGTTCTCTGTTTCTGAAAAATTGTTTAGATTTTGCAACTATAATTATAACTATTTGGTAATAAAATGAAATTGAAAAGCTGAAGTTGAACTTACAGAAAAATCAACTTGGGCCAAGAGTCCATGGAGCACATGACATGATTTTTGTATTAAGAAAATCGAAATCAACAAAAATCTTATGGAATGAATAAGTGACTATTATTTGCAAAATAAAAGGTTAATATACAAAAATTAACCACTTTACTACATACTAACAATTGGAATTGGACTCCACTCTCTGTGGACTCTTCTAAGTGAAAATTTATTCACATTAGCAAATTTATTAATTTATTTACATTTACAAATTTATTAATTTATTTGCATTAGCACCCAGAAGGGTCCACAGAGAATGAACTCTTGCAACCTGAACCACTGTAGCTGCCTGTCCTTCCAGTTGTTTCTTCCCAACCACAGTGATGAAGGAAATGTCAGACCACTCGTGTCCAAGTTCATATAGGGAGCCAGCAATATATAGGGAGACACCTAGCAATATTCCTTCAGTAGCTATATGCCAATTTGTTCTTTCCCTTTACTTAGAGGATTGGGTTTCTTATTCTGTAAAATACAGCTTAGGTTGGAGGTTGGCAAACATTTTTTTAAAATAAAGGGCCGTAGTACATATTTCAGGCTTTGCAGGCCATCAGTGTTACATGTTTAACTCTGCCATTACAGTGGCTCTTTTTTTGTTTTGTTTGGTTTGGTTTGGTTTGGTTTTTTTTTTGAGACAGGGTCTTACTATGTAGTTGAGAATGACCTGGTACTCACTATGTAGTCCAGGCTGGTCTCGAACTCATAGCAATCCTCCTGCCTCAGCCTCCCAAATGCTGGGATTACAGGCAGGCGCCACCACACCCAGCTACAGTGGCTCTGTTTAAGTAAAACATTATGGACAGAGAAATTTGAATTTCCTCTAATTTTCCTATTTCATGAAAAATTCCTTTTTTTAATTACTTAAAAATCTAAAACAAAACATTCTTAGCTTGTGGGCTAGTACAAAACAAAGCAAAAACCACACAGGTAGCAAGATGGATTTGGTGCCCAGGTTGTATTTTGCTGATCTCTGATCTAACTGATCCGACTTATGTGTTCTGGTTTTAAAATACCTCGCTGACTCTAACAGCCTGATTTAGTGGGAAAGAACTAAATCCATTGACCCACTGTTTCTACTTATAGGAATTTATCCCACAGAACTACTTGCACAAGTACAAGACTGTTCAGCAGCATTCTTTGCAAGAACAAAAAAGTAGCTTGAATATCTATGTATTAGGGATTGGCTAAGTAAATCACAGCTTATCCACATGAAGGAAAACTAAGGAGTTATTAAAAGTGCAAAGGTGTTGGTTTGGAAAGATGAATATATGTTTAGGCAAAAGAGGAGGTTGCTGAGCAGTACTTATAGCTTGATTTCTTTTTATTTAACTGACACATAAACTCAGACTAGGAAATTTCACAAAAGGTAGCCAAGTAATCTTTTTCCTTGGGATCATATACAAATACTGTCTATACTCAGAACCTTTACATCATCTTCAACATAAACTGTACCAATTAAACAGTAGCTCTCCCCTGGTAACCTCTAATATATCTGTCTCTAATTTTCCTATCTCAGGTATCTCATATGAGTACATATAATATTTATCATTAATGTCTGGATTATTTCACTTAGCATAAAGTTTTCAGGATCTGTGCATGTTGTAGCCTGTATCAGAGTTTCATTTTTTTTAAAAATCCTAAATGATACTGCATTTTACATTTATACCATGTTTTGTCCATTTGTTGATGAACATCTGGGCTGTTTCCACTTTTTGGTTATTGTGAGTTATGCTGGTATGGATATGGGTGTACAAATACTTTTTCATGTTTTGTGCTTCAGTTCTTATGGAGATACACCTAGAATGGAATTGCTGGATGCTGTGATCATTCTGTTTAGTTTTTGAGAAACTTTCATACTGTTTTCCTCAGCAGAGGCAGCATTTTACATTTCCACCAGCATTTCATGATTTTTCCACATGCTCGTCAACACTTGTTATTTTCTTTTTCTTTTTTGTAGTTTTCCATGATAGCTATTTGAGTGGTGTCTTATTGGCCGCCTGCTTTTTTCTTTTTCTTTCTTTTCTCTTCTCTTTCTCTCTTTTTTCTTTTTCTTTCTTTTCTCTTCTCTTTCTCTCTTTCATCTTTTTCTCTTTTCTCTTATTTCTTCCTCACCCTCTCCTCCTTCTCCTTCCCTCCTCCCCTTCCCCTCTCTTTCTTTCCCTTCTCTCCTTCTTTACTTCCTTTCCTGTCTCCCTCCCTTCCTCTTCTAGGTCTGTCTCTCACTCCCTCAACCTGCCTCCCGCTTTCTAGTAAGGGACTACATCCCCATTCCTTTTTATTTTTTTATTTTGAGACAGGATCTCACTAAGTTGTCCAGGCTGGCCTTGAAATTGCAGTTCTCCTGTCTCAGCTTCGTGAGAAGCTGGGATAATAATCATGTGCTATTGTGTCAGTTTATTGTGGTTTCAATTTGTATCCCTTAATGACTAAGGATATTGAACATGTTTTTATGTGTTTATTGGCAATTTAAATATCTTTTGGAGAAATGTCTCTTTTTTTTGTTGATTTTTGAGTTAGATTGTTTTTTAAAATTTTAGTTCTTTTTTTTTTTTTGTGGTACTGGGGATCGAACTCAGGTCCTTGCGCTTGTGAGACAGGCCACCGAACTGCTGAGCTAAATCCCCGGCCTTAAAATTTTAGTTCTTTATGTTCTAGATGTTAATTCTTTGTAAGAATATGATTTATAAATATTTTCTGCCACTCTATAGGTCATCTCTTTGCTTTTTCTATGGGGAGGGTATTACAAAGATTTAAACCCAGGACTTCATGCATGCTAGGTAAATGCTTTTCCATTGAGTTACATCTAAAGCCATCTTTTTGTATTTTTTTTTTTAAGTTTTGAGACAGAATCTCCCTAAGTTAAGTTGTTGAGGCTGGGCTTGAATTTAAGATCCTCCTGCTTCAGCCTCCCAAAGTGCTGTGATTACAGACATATGCCACCACACCCAGCTCTTACTGCATTTTTGCCAGTGTCCTTTGATATACAAAAGTTCTTAATGTTGATGAAGCCCAGTTTAACTTTTTTTTTCTAGTACCAGGGATCAAACTCAGGACCTTATGCTTGCAAGGCAAGTGCAGTACCACTGAGCTAAATCCTGGACCCTTATTGTTTCTTTGATTGCCTATCCTTATGGTATTCTGTCCATGAAATTATCCCCAAATTCAGTGTAATGAAAGTCTTCCTCAGTATTCTAAGTTTTAGCTCTTACATTAAATCTTTGCTCCCCTGTGAGTTAAAATTTTATATGCAGGATGAAGGTCTAACTTCATTCATAGGTACCAAAACAGTCTACAGATTCAACACAATCCCTCTCTCTGTTCTATTTCATTGGTATATATGTATGCTTTTATGCCAGTACCACACTGTTTTGATTACTTTAGCTTTGTAGTAGGTTGCAAAATCAAAAAGTATGCATCCTCCAATATTATTCTTTTAAAGACAATTTTGAATACTCCAAATACCTTTCGATTTCATATAAATTTGAGGATGGTTTTTCCATTTGGTGAAAACAGTGTTGGAAATTTTATAGGAATTGTGTTGAATCTGTAGATTGTTTTGGTACCTATGCCCATCTGGATTATTATCCCGAAAATAGGAAGACTTCATACAGATTAGACAGGAAACACAAAAGACTCTGTTGGGCAATGAACAGGGGACACAAATAATGATTCCCAGAACAAGTAATATTAATGCAGAGAGAGCATCTGAAAAATATTCAATTGAATTCATAATGAGAGAGATGCAAATTAAAATGGAATACAAACTTTAAACCATCTATCAAGTTAGCAGTTTTAAAGATGTAATTCACTTTAGTCATAATGAAGTAAAGCATTACATTTCAGGTCTCTTGGTGTACAAATTGGACATTATGACAACAAACCCCTGTAATTCTTCTAGATATAAGGAACTATTCAGAGATGGACAGAAATTTTTGTACTTGAATATATATCATTATATAAAAATAGTGAAAAATTAGATACCATTAGGTATTTTGGCCCAGCAATGAGGAGTTGACTAAGACAGGAGCTGAATTTTTTAGTTTTTTTAAATTGAAGTCTATTGCAAAGAAAAATATTCACACATCATAAATATAGCTTAATTTTTAAATGAATATATGCAGATAATGAGCACCCATACCAACAAATAGAAGGTAATGCACTTCCAGAATTTAGACCAACCCCTTCCAGTCAGTAGTCCCTTTGCAAGGTAAGCACAACCCTGACTTCTCCCGTAACTAGTCTGTTTGGTTTTTCACTTTATATGAATTGAATCATACACTATGTTCTCTTTTGTGTCTGGCTTTTACTCAAGGTTATGGTTGTGAGGTTCACCCTTGCTACAGGTAGTAGTAGTTGACTTATTGATGTAAGTCTTTGCTTGTATGAATACACCAGAGTTTATTAGTCATACATTAGTGTTATTGTCAGAAAAATCCTACAGTTTAAAAAATAAAATTTGGTGAAAGTTACAGTTCAAACTGGACATGTTTTACAAATTGAAGTTTTTAATTTGGATTTTTTTTCTTTTGGCTCCGGGGATCAATCTCAGGTCCTTGAGCTTGTGAGGCAGGTGCCAGAACGACTGAGCTAAATCCCTAGCCCTACAACTTGAAATTTTTATATATTAGTCTTCACTCGTCTAACTTGGGAATGAACTCTCCCATCTTCTTGGTATTTATTTATTTATTTATTTAATACTGGGGATCAAACTGGGGTCCTTCGGCTTGCACAGCAGATGGCGGAACCACTGAGCTAAAGCCCCAGCCCTTTTTCCATCTTTATCTCCTTTTGATTTCTCTCCTTTGGGCCTTTGGTGATCAGTACCTCTGTGAAAGGATGGGGAAGCAGGAAAAGAGATGAAACTTGAATCCCTTAGTTGTGCCTCTCATTTCTGCTATGAGTCAGGAGGGATAAAGTGAATTCACTTCTTCATTAAGGTGCTTCTCCCAGTAACTAATGTAAGTGTTCAAACCAAATCTGGAGTACAAGATAGAATATATTGTTATAGTCTGTGTCTTGTTCTAGTTCTACTCTATAGTTATGTGACACAGAGCCACAATTGAACCTTTGGAATTCTAGATTTTTCAGGCTATATTTCACAGCAATTTATTTGGATTTAACCTAAAGCCTAACTAATAAGGTAATCAAAATGAAGTGGAGAGCTATACTCAGTGGGTTTACACCACAGGTGTGGATGTGAGGTCTCCCAGGGTCTCTACTCCACAGAGCACCAGGGCCCAATCTGGAACAGACTGCTAGTGCACATTTTGGGTTCACACTGTCTGTCTCTATTAGTTTCTTTCTCATCACTGGAACAAACTACCTGACGCCTCAATTTAAAGGAAGAGAGGTTCATTTTAGCTCACAGTTTTAGGAATTTCAACCCATGATTGGCTGGCTCTGGCAGAAAGGGCTTGGAGGAAGGGTCTGGGTGGAGGAAAGCTATTCACATCATGGTGGCTATATAGCAGAGAGAGAAGGAAGGAGCCAGAGAGGAAGATATACCCATCTAGGTCATGCCTCCAGTGACCCGCCTGTAACCCAGCATAAATCAGCTATGAATGGATCAGTAGATTAATCCATTGGTAAATATAGCGCTTTCATAAGCCAATTACCTTCCATAAGTCCCACATCTGAATATGTAAGGCTTTTGGGGGACATTTTATTTTTATTTTATTAATTTTTGTACCAGGGATTGAACTCAGGACCTTGCGCTTGCCAGGCAGGCACTGTGCCACTGAGCTAAATCCCTGGCCCATTGGGGTATATTTTAGATCTAAATCATAACACTTGCCTAAGTGAAAAGCCATTTTTATCCTCTTTACAAAAGCACTTAGTGCTGGTCATGGTGATGAATTCTGGGGTTGCTTATGGAAGAAGTCTTATTTTAGCTAGGCATGGTGTCACACTCCTATAATCCTAGCACTCTGGGAGGTTGAGGTAGGAGGATTGCAAATTCAAGCCCAGCATGGGCAGTTTAGCAACTAAGGGAGGCCTTATCTCAGAATTAAAATAAATTAAATAAAAAAGGCTGGGGTTGTAGCTCAGTGCAAAAGACCTGGTTTCAATCACCAGTACTGCCAAAAATCAAAACAAAACAAAAACTTATATAACTTTCTAAAATTCAACCAGGGCTTCAATTTGAGGGGGCGTTTTTAGAGCATATCCCTATAAGGTTATTTAGGTAGCAAGTGTGAAGTAAATTTTTTATGTTGTTTTACAGAAGTTGAAGGTGCAGAAGTCCAGCCTGATCAAGTAGCTTCACAAATGAACCATCCAACACACTTCAAAAAATATATTTCTGAGTCAACAGAACAGGATTTTTGCTCATCACCCAAAGAAGGACAACCATCTCCTCCAAGACAGAATAATCTGGTTTGTATAGTAAAGTGAAAATATTTCTTTTTTTTTGTTCTTCTCATTCTACTATAATTCTTTTGTTAAATTTAGCCAGGCATGGTGGTGCATGAGGCAGGAGGGTCTTCTCAAATTGGAGGCCAGCCTGGGCTACATAGTGAGTTCAAGGCCAAGCTGGATTATAGAGCAAAGCCCTGAGTTTAATTTTATATATTGAGATACAAATAAACCTAATACAGTTCAGTGAGTTTTGATAAATAATGTATGTCATGCCCCTGTCAAGATAAGGAACTTTTCCATTTACTCAGAAATCTTCCTCCTTCCTCTTCCCAGTAAATCCTGGTCCTCTCTTGCCTTGGTGAAAATATATTGATAGTTTTCCCATCCTAGGTTTGTTTCATATAAGTAGAATGTCAAAAATAGAATTTTGTTGTACAAATAGAATTGTATAAATAGAACATGTATAAATAGAATTGTCTTTTTGGTTACAGTTTCTCTGTCTTAGAATGGTATTATGGAGATTCATTTTGTAATATCAATATTTCATTCCTGCATATTCTCAGCGGTACTCTGATAGTATGAGTAAAGTGTCTATGAACCTGTGAATGGAGATCCTTTGGTGAATATATGTTTATATTTAACTTGAATAAACACCCACGAGTGAAAATATTGGGCCATGAGATAGATTTTTTGACTTTTTAAAACAGATTTTTTATTTTTATTGTATATATTTACAATGCATAATAATTACTAATTGTGGAAATCGGTATGTATATATATTACATCTTGATATTTAATTCCCTTAACTCATGCCCTCTCTTTTACCTGCTTCCACAGATACCTTTCTAATCTCCACAAAGTCTACCTTGCTGTTACCATATCTTTTATTTTGCTCTTTATTTATATTTTAGGTTTCTTATATAAGAGAAACCATACAACATTTGTCCTTTTTTTTTGGGCAGTACTGGGGATTAAACCCAGGGCCTTCATACTTCATACTGAGCTACATCTCCAGTACTTTTGGGTTTTTATTTTGAGACAGAGTCTTAGTAAACCACTAAATTACCCAGGTTGGGCTTGAAGTTTCGATCCTCTTCCTCAGGCTCCTAGTGAGCTGGGATTAAAAGTGTGTGTCACCATGCTTGCCTGATACTTACCCTTCTGTGTCTGATTTCAAAGTATAACACAAAGGTACAGTAATAAAAACAGCATTGTACTGGCACAAAAATAGACATGTTCACCAGTGGAATAAAATTGAGGATACAAAACAACCCCATGCACTTTCATCCATCTGATTTTTAACAAAGGGGCCAAAAACATATGCTGGAGAAAAGATAGCCTGTAATATTTGGTGCTGGGAAAGGTGGTTATCCACATGCAGAGGAATGAATGTAAACCTGTATCTTTTACCCTATACTAAAATCACATCGAAATGGATCAAAGGGCTAAATATAAAAACAGAAACACTGAATCTGTTGGAAGACAAAAATTAGTCATAGGCATAGGTGAGGACTTCCTGAACAGAACCTTACTTGCATAAGAAATAATACCAGGGGCCAGGGATTTAGCTCAGTGGTTCCGCCGCCTGCCTTGCAAGCGCAAGGACACGAGTTCAATCCCCAGTACCAAAAA